ATTCATTCATTCATTCATTCATTCATTCATTTATTCTGCGCAAACTTGTACTCTTCTATATATATGTATATAAATAGTGTTGTTTCCTAACAATCAAATACAGTATATTTACCTGTTTGTTTTCTTCATTTTTTTGCAGTATTAAACCCATGTTTGACACATGCCTTAGTTAAAATGGAAAGCGCAGTCAACCAAGATGAAACAATTACAAGTTCAAGAGCAGATGATGTGGAGTTGAATATTGAAAGGGAAACATTCATTCAAATGGAGGGCAACCCATCTCAAGAGTATCTTGACAATATCACATCAGATTTCTGGGACAATGATCCTGAGTCCAAGAGGTCCAGACGAAAACAAGGAATGTCTCTAAAACGAACTAAGAATGATGACATAGGTCTGAAGGATAATGACACAGAAATAGACATATATAAGTTTGATGAAGAGCTTCATTTTCTTGAAGGAACAAGTGACCAAGAATTAAGTTCTGAACAAATGGACATTACAGGTCAGCATAAAAAATCAAGAAAGCAGTTTAAACCTTGCAGAGTGACTTCAGAACAAAAGAGTGATGATGCTGACAATGAGTATTTGTCAGAGGATGATAATGATGATGAACCAGCTGAGGTCATGGAGACAATATTCAAAATCATAGAGAAGTTATCAACATCTGGAGTTAAACAATCCGATGATGATGAGATCTCAAGAAAAAGAAGAAGAAAAATGAAAAAGTATCAGTGTTCCCTCTGCTCTTTTAACACAAAGGACAGTTACACCCTAGGGCAACACATGCGCTGGCACATTGGAGATAGACCCTATGTATGTCGTGGCTGCTCAAAAGATTTTACAAGAGCTGATCATTTAAGAAGACATGTGGAAGGAGCGCATCCAGGTCAATTAGATTATTTTCTGCGATGTATATACGAAGATTATAATGCCAAATTAAAAGAAACATTCCTTTCTCATGTCAATGATTCACCTAGCCTTGACACACTCCTCACTACTTCTGTAATGAAAAGTGGCATGCAAACACCTACATCTATTGGCCTTGTGAGTCATATAACAAACAGTTCTGAACAATCAAGTACTCTTCAGGAAGCAAACAGTGTAGCAAATGTGAAATTCCACAGAAACAAGCCTATTAAAGTGGCCAATGTCTGATGTTAAAGGCCATATGCCAAAGCAGTTACTTGTGGTATTGACACCAATAGACTTGGAAAAGGAATGCAGGACTCTGAAATCCCTTGATAGTGACATAGCAGAGCATGGGAAGGGAGAAAAATCATCAGAAGAATGGGCAAGAGTAAGAAAAGAAAGAATACATAAGCGACTAAGAAAGAAAAAGCCTCAGAGATGCTTGTCTCCACCTAGATTGAATCAGGTTTCATCAGTGTCTTCAAGATTGTTGATGACTGACTTGTCTTCAGATAGTTTGCAACCGCCAAATTTAGAACCATTTATTGGTATACATAATCATCATAAATTTGAAACACACGCATATAATGACACTTATCTATGTGAGCAAAAAGGTTCAACTGTATGTATAATTAATGGGCCAAAAGAACACAATCAGAAACCTGAGAAGAGAGATGGGATGACTTGTAAAGACAATACATTGAAGATGGAGTGCAGTACATTGCTGTCAGATGGCAGAATTGTGCATGTCAAAGAAAATGTTCAGGCAGAAGGTAATGATAATCCTCTGTCTAGTCCTGAACAACCTGTCCACAGTACATGTAGTCCAGATCATATTGGTTTTGGGCAAAATGAAGATACAGGTCTAGCAACAGATAGTGAGTCTACAATATCAACTGAGAAAACTACGGCTGATAGATGTCAGACAACCGATGTACAAACTGAACAGTCAAATACACAAATGGATGTAATTGATATTCTGGAGAATGAATTTGATTTGAACAGTACATCTAAATGCACCCTGTATGAGAAGTCTGATTCCCTATCATCACTGAATACATTGTCACAGTTACAGTCTATTGCTGTAGGAATGGACCTACCTGTAACTCTCAAAGAGCAAGGGCAAACAGTACAAGATAAACATGTTGAGTATTATGAATATAATGAGAAATCTAGTAGCACAGTTGACCCAAAAGCAATGCTTGCAAATGACAATCTTTCTCTACATGAACTTTTAGATAAGAAAGCAGAACATTTGAGAGAAATTGATAGCACTAAAGTGGATGTGCATATTAAAAAACCCTTGTCCGCAAAAGTCAGTGATATTGTGCGGATTGCAGCAGTCATAAAAAGAGACATTTGTGGCCACAAGCAGCATATCCATACCTGTAGGGAGAATTTGTCTGATTTTCAACCTGAGATGGAATTTACTGTTCGCAGTAAGAACTTTCAAATAGGGTGTATGGATATTACAGCCAAAATGAGGCATAATTCAGCTGGACAAATGCAGATTGCATATGAATGCCCAAATTGCCACTTATTGTTTGCAAGTTACAAAGGTCTGAATTTTCACTACAGACGCAAACATAAAGAAAATGAAGCTGATGGAAACTCAACAGCAGACAATGAATCTCTGTTTGAATTGAAACGACCAACTGCTGAACCTTGTGATAATGTAACTTCTCCATCACTTGCATCACCTGTTCCTGCATCCATATACCTTGAAAAATTAGCTGAAGCGAACCGATTCACCAGACTTCAACACACAGAATCAGTCTCAACAAATGTTCAAGGTGAAACAAGAAATAACGCCTTTGCAGATGAATCTACAACAGCTGAATATTCAGTGAATTGTTTTAGTAGATTCTCAGACTGTCCAGGTACCAAGTATGAGAGAACCCAGCTCCAAAAAGGTCATCCTCTGGCCAGTGATGTTCAGTTACTATTTCAAAATTTCACACACCAACATTTCTTGCATCATCAGGGTATCAGTCACATGCCTACATCTGTAGACAGGGAATCCAGTGTTAACATGCCGATAACTTGTTCTTCTCAAGATTCTGACCCAGTTGACCTGAGTAAAAGAGTTTCCATTCCAGTGATGACAAATTGTTATGATAGTCAGATATCCCAAGCCATAAATGTCACCACCCACAATACATCTATGTTCAATGACACAATTAATAAAGAGAATAGGACTATTTCAGATGTCACAAATATGCAGTATCAAATGTCTCCCAGAATGCATCTGTCTAACACTTGTGCATCTGCAATTAACCAAACATATGGGAATGAACGAATGGTTTACACGACTCCTTGCCGTATCAGTACTCTACTTTCCAGAGATCACGATGCCACCATGATCACATCACATCCCCAAGATGCCATTCCTAAAGACGATTCTGTCAGAATTTCAGTCGGGACTACACAGTATATTCCTAAATCATTGATCCACTACAGACCTGTCATGTGTGATGATCCTGCTACTGGAGAAAAAACAATTAATGTCACCAAAAAACAAATAGAACAGTTGCAAAACCAAATTATGCAAAAGGATGTATGTACAAACGAAGAACAGAAGCAATCTGGTGTATTGGACTTATCCTCCAGAACTAACCCCACACCAGCTCATCAACATGTATCACAAAGACAATTTATACAACAATGTGAACAAACACAAAAATCTACTCACCCCAGCCCTATCAAAGTTCCTGTCATTGTTGACAGTCCTTTCCAGTACCATACTTCACACCTGGAATACCAGTTGAGTCACCCTTTTAATGCTGTGACTCATCATGGTGAGTCTTCACAAATTAGGATGCCAGTTATGAAAGCAATGCTTGCTCAAGAAACCTTATCAAACCTTCCTGTGCAACATACGATTGTTGAAACAAAACAAGATTCCACTCTTCGCTCTAAACCAAAAGTACTTCCGCCAGCACCTGGGAGGCCTTTTTCCAAGTCATTCTTCAGTAAAACAGAACAACTTACACACTCTTCACAAAAGAATGTTTTGACACAAAATGCACAGCCAATTGCATTTCAAAGAGCTTTCCAAAATGCGAGTAACAAACAACAGATACTTTCGAATGTTGAAATGTCTCCTCAATCAGGTGCATTGTCAGAAAAGTCTGGTATATCACCTCAACAACATTTATCTGTCAACAGAGTAGCAACAACTCCTGTTAAACATTTTCCTGGTCAATTACTGAACGTTGGATTTGAACAATATACTAAACTACAGGAACAGAACCTTTCTAGACAAATTCATGCTAGGATGCAGCAAACAGATATTTCCCAAGGAACCCATTTACCAGTTATTCAACGTCAGTTTAGGTTTCCCCAGCAAGCCAACATTATGCAAATGCACGACCAACAACTTGTTGCTGTTGAAAGTCAAATAAATAAAAGAAATGCAAGTGAACAGCAGTTAGCATCACCCGGAAAACTATCTTCGAGTATGTTGCTATGCCAGCCATTACATGGAGCTATTAGTCAAACACAAATGGTGGTTCCAGTTACGCATCCTGTTATCACACCACGGGATAATACTTTAATTCAATGCAAACCTGATTTATCTAAAGTATCAAAGGAAATCAACAACATGGCTAATATAGTCAATAGGCTTCCACCTACTGATCCACTGAGTGTGATTCATGATGTGCCCTTTGGGATGCCCCCAAACAATAATGATGGAGAACTTCCAGCAGTCTATGCTAAGGTGTTGGGTGTGTCCAACAAAGTAAGAACACTCAGGGAAAGAGATCCAGAACGCACTATAATTTACCCCCCAAACCGTGAACCTGAGGTATTCCAACAAGTTAGTTCTCCATTGGATCTTAGCACCAGTGCCAGGGCGCAACACACAAGTGTCAATGAGATTCAGAGTGAATCATTGAGCTTAACTGACAACCCATTGGACCTGACAGTCAAGTCAAATTCAATCACCAGCCATCTACCAACATCTCTAGTGCTTGGACAATCTACATCAAAATTGCATCAAGGAATTCCTCTATCCTTATCGAGCAATAACCGTTCCTATATATCTCGAAACAAAGTCTCAAATGTATGCCTAACTGATATTCAAGGTGATCTTCAATGTAACAAATACAATCAAATAAAAAATGTTCCTCGATGCATGAATATGCTTTGTGATGCTACACAATCGCCTGCATATCGGGCAATAACTGATCAACCACCAATAGTTATAACTAATGTTAGGAGTCTTAGTGAATATGATCCCCAAGCAGCGAAAAAAGGACAATATTCGATTCACACAATCAGTAGACAAACACATCAAGAAATATCTAGTGCCTCAAATGCTGCCCTGCGAAAACGGAATGTTGTTGCTTCTACTGGATCTGCTATAGCAATGCGTGCATCAACAAAACACTATTATCCTCCTGTGGCTCATTCGTCTGGAGCAACTGCAAGAACCGATTGCATACCTCAAATGTCAGAGCATACTCCTCTTTTGAAGGTTGTGCACCAAAATCCCACAGTGACGACTTCTGCTTCATTGAACCAAACAGTAGCCCACATGAGCAAAGCAACTAATCCTATGCATGTAATGGAACATGTTGACGAGGTGGTCACCTCTTGTCCATCCAAGACATCCAGGTCATCACTCACAAGTCAAGTTCAGTCAAGTATAACACAAATGCCCCCCTTTCAAATGGTTCAGAGATTTACGAACAGAACATCTAATCCTGATTTGTTCCGAACACCAGTTGTAAATATGACACGGTCCTTTGTACCAACTGACTCCGGTCATCAGAGTAATGTTGAGTCAACCACACCAAATACACAGCCACTGATGGTTCAGACTACACCCTTTTGCCAACAGAATATAATCATTCCATCAAATGACATGATTCGCACTACTGCGCTCATGGTTTCACAGCATAAAAGTGATTCTATTGCATCGTCACATATACCTACTTCTTGTGTAAGTGTCCCTACACCTGTCAAGGCCCAGACTGTTGCAACTAGGTACGCCAATTCTGTTCAGAATAATGTCGCATTGGAACCCTACCCTAGAGTTGCCGAATTGCCTGTTCAGCCTGTATTGAACTCTGGCATGACTCATACGACCTCAAGTGCCTGCCAATCAAGAATGGTACCTAGATTAGCCTCCCAAGCTTCACCCCGTCCAGGTGTTCTTCCTACTAGTTACCCAAATACTCCTCTTGCTGGCTCACAACAAAGGTTTGCAGTACCAAACACAACAATGTCTATCAATGTGG